AGCAGTTCATTAAATTAGACAAAGGGGGATGAAGGGAAGGGAAGGGTAGGGAGATGGGTATAGGAAAGATAGTAGAGAACTAGACGTAACTTTCTATAATCATATATGAATACACAACCAATGTAACTCTACATTATGTACAGCCACAAGAACGAGATCAAATTTGTAATGGACTGCACCCTATATATGTGTAATTTCAAATTATACCTACTATCATGTATATTTTAAAACAACAAATAAAAAAAATACTCATATATGTCAACAAATACTGTCAAAAACAAATACAGGTATGACATCAAAATAAAAAAGCTTATCCATAAAAAAATAATGAAACCAATTTGCAATCACTATTATTTTCTTACTTTATATTTAAAAGTTTACATATATGTATGTATATATGGCTTAGAATTAAATCAAACTCAAACTAAAAAACAAAAACTATCAGAATGTAAAACTTATTTACCTCACTGACTCGTTTATCAGCTTTAAGCCTTATTACTCTTTCCTCTTTTAACTGCTTTAGGCACTCCTCCAGTTTTCCCTAGAATGAAGAGAGTAAATATTATAATTCATTCATACTATGATTTCTTATCCCAAAGCTCTTCCAGTTACAGATTCCACCAAGTATTTAGGGGCAGAGCTGGAATTACAGAATACTACTTGTGATATCATACCACACTAATGAAATTAATTAGCAAAACATACCAAATTAGCATGCTACAAATTTATTTAAATCTCACTGTTTCCAAGACATTTGTGGCAGTTCACCCTAAGATGTATACATGATCTAGTTAGTGATTCATAAATGAAAAGTAAAGGCCATGAAAGGAAAATTCTGTTCTTATTTGTGAGTCCCTCATAATAGGAAACTTTTTTCTTTTTTTTTTTGTACTGGGCAATCTGGACTACTGAGCCACATCCCCAGCCCTATTTTGTATTTTATTTAGAGACAGGGTCTCACTGAGTTACTAAGCGCCTCACCATTGCTGAAGGTGGCTTTGAACTTGAGATCCTCTTGTCTCAACCTGCCGAGTCTGGCAGGAAACTATTAATATGCTTTGTAATTGCAAACTACAATGCATTTTTAAAAAGTAAACACTTTCAAAGAACTTTATCATATGTCAAGCATTGTTCCAGATGTATGAAGAATTTTCTTGGTATTATCTAATTGAATTGTCAAAACCTTACAAGTAAAGTACAATTATTGTGTTATTTTATTCATAAGAAAACTAAGGAAAGGAAAAGTAGATTAACACACTTAAGATCACATCATTAGTTAAGTAGTAGAGCCAGGTTTGAATTAAGGAAGTTGGGTGCCAGTCTTGGTCACAAATACGGTAATCTTTTCCTTCATCAAGGTCAAAAAAATAAAATGCAAATGGGTTAACTCATTTATCATTTTCAGGAACTAAGACTCCTTAAAAGTAGGGGTCACTACTTATGGTAGGCAGAACCTTAAAATGACCCCCAAAGAATCCTTTTGCTGGGGTACCCTCTTGCACCTCCCACTATTCAATCAAA